GGAGTATGCATCCGCAGTATATATTTTTTCACAGACAACGTTAGTTTCAGTCAGATTAGTTTTGTCAACGGGATAGACGTGATTGAATTATATTCAATCTTAACTGATAAAGATGACGGTTTAACCGTGCTCTAGATGGAGGTTGATCCTAATTTATTTCAGGGTTCTTAAAATCTCAGTTTAATTAGATACAGATACAGACAGTTCTTCGATGGGCTTTGATGTCACAGATTTTTATTGTTTTTGAAATGCAACATTAAAACGAAGTAAGAGATGTATATACTGCAGTCGTCGAAGATAAAGATTTTTAAAAGATTATTTTTTTTTAAGTAGGGGCGGGGGGGGGGCTAAGAAGGTACTTGAATCAGTTTGCTCGAGTAGAGAGGAAAATGGAGGGGGTTCTGTTTTTACCTAATGTATGCTGCATCTGTGAACCCATGGACTTGACTTTTATTTGAAAGGGACACAATAAAAGCAGGGAAAGCAAACATGTTTGCAGGAAATTATCCAACATACGATTTTTTTCCCGTAACTTTGAATTTTCGTTATCGTTTGGATCGTAATATAATGTGTAGATTCTGTTAGGAATAATTAAAAAAAATGATTGAGAAATTTTGACATTATACATTGCTTGGAAAATATTTCTCCAAAATTCATAATAGGGAAAAAATCAGCATTTAATAAATATTTGTAAATGCTTTTGATAAATTGAATCAGATTCATTTTTAGACCGTCCTATTTTAGTTGGCTAATACAACAGTATACAAGGCTAATACAAAACGGAATGTAGCTCCGCCCTCTGAGTCCCGTTGCAAACTTAATGCCTAGATTTAACCATCATCGATTTATTTGTTTTGGTTGAAAAATCAGCGTAGACTGCCCTTTGTTTTGAAAAGTCCGGTAGGTGGCGACACCTCTATCCTCAGTTTTTAGGGGATAAAAACTATCCCCCAAATACAGAGGCCGCCTAGACCTTTTTATCAAATAACTGGGGGAGACATTAAGATTTTTAGTATCTTTAACATTTCTTTTATTCAATATTCAACAAAATGTACAACAAAATATATCTTTGAGAGACAACTTTTTATTTAATGTCTTTAAACTTGGTTTCTAAATTGTCCACTGTATTTAAAATAGGCTACTTTAGTATCAGTTTTTTATACAGAAAAACATTAAATTAAAGTTTAGACAAAATTCATGCTTTTTACTCAATTCATTTTCCAACAAAAAAGTCCATGCAAATAGGAATTGAAAGTATAAGGCAAGTAATATATGACCCAAACTTGTGCATGCAGGGATATAGATATACCCTTCAATCTAAACGCAAATTTATTTAAGGTATAGAAACTACCAGGCCACACAAAGGGAAAAGAAACAGACTTATCATGACTGCATATTTTTGTATATGGACAAAAAATTATTAGGTTTTTAGACAATATTGACGCTTTTTTTCTCACTATCAAATAATCAAAATCTAAAAAAAAATCACATTGATCGAAAGTTGTACCTTCAGTTTGCAAATTAGAAACAAATTGAATGTGAAGTTGAAGTTAGGTCTGTACAATTGAATTCAATTTCTGAGATAGTAGTTGTTTGTAGTTCAACTACCTTTGATACTTTTCAATTTAATAATGCATTCTAAAATATGTTATTTCGAGACCGTTCGATGTTTACAAATAAATTCTGTGCAAACTTTCCAATCAAAATACGAATTTCAAAATTCTTCGATTTAAATTTTTCAGTTACTGAAGGCCTATACATGTTCAGATGATTTGCTACAAATTCATATTTTTTAATTTTTTTTTAACCGCTCCCTTAGAAAGGTCCGCCTTTAAATGTCTGAAGTCCGAAGTCCGCTGTTCGCTGTAGGCTATTCTGCAAGTGTTCCAATAGGGTTGTACTTACATGAATGTGAGAGATGATGAAACATTGGAAATTGAGAAAATATTGTCATTTTTATACAACAGTCAGCATAATAATAGCAAAAGTGTTGTGTTTTGCGTGCACTATGCCTAAATAGTAGTTAGGGTTTGACAAACGGTGCACGAGACGGATTTGTCAAACCCTGACTACTATTGGGAAATAAATAAAGAAAACAAAGGACATGAATCTTGATTATCAATCCGCTTCGATATGTGTGAAAAGGGAATGCGTCTAAATGGTGGATACAATAGTCAAGAATATTTTGAGAACTTATAGTCGGATGAAAATCGAACAAAAACGATAACCTTTAAAATTTTATCGATTTCTCAAGCAAGTAAAGCTGCATAAAATATTAATTGAAACTAGACACATACTGTTCGTTATCTCCATATCCTTCATGCATCACCTATTTTAAAAAATCTATTTCACTTTATGAATATAAAACATGAACTATGTAAAGTACGTTTTATGCGTTAAGAAAAATTCGATGTTCTAAAAAAAGGGGGACCTGTCGTTTTTTTTTAATGGTAAATGAAAAGCAACTTTATATTTTAAATATCAAAAACATATTATTTTTTTACAAATTCACTTTATGGAAGTAAATATATTATGTATCTCGTAATTTATAAAGGGAAAGAACATTCTGATTAAAAATCTTCTTAACGTTTACGAAACCTTTAATTCTGAATAACTTCTCTCACGTAAATCCCCATATACCAACACTTAAACTTACATGTATATAGCATCCCGGTCGCGCGGGCTGCAATTATGGACTTCAGTGTAGGTCGATATGTGCTTAGAAGGACTCAAGGCAATATCGATATTGACCAAAGACACAGAAAGTGTTGCAGGCTTTGTGGCTATCATTTACTGTGTCTGAAGTCAATATCAATATTGCCATGAGTCCTTATAAGCACATATTGACCGTGCACTGAAGTCCATCATAGTTATATACTAAAAATAGATTTTTCAAACTTTCGCCATAACTTTTGACCATGAAAGATAGAGATTTCATATTTGAAATGCACACTCCACCAATGAAGCTCTTTCAAATGACAACAAGGTCAATGACCTTGTGACCTTGACTGTGACCTATATGCTAAAAATAGATTTTTCGAACTTTCGACATGATTTTTGATCCACGAGAGATAGAGACTTCATATTTGATATGCTTACTCCACCAATGAAACTCTTTCAAATGACACCAAGGTCAATGACCTTTTGATCTTGAGTTTTATTTTTTGCTAAAAATACGGGTTTTTAACATGTTGCTGCCGGGTGCATAGTGTTTCACAAACACATCTTGTTTTATCTCAATTTGCTGAAATATGAAAACAAAGAATAGCAATCCAGGTAAAAAAGAAATAAAACCTAACAAATTGAGGGGAGTTGATTACATAAGAAGAATTCTGTTACATAATCTCCTTTTCATACTGTAATTTTAAAAATAGCGTAAATGCTGAATAATAAAAGTTATTTTTAAAAAACTGCTAGTAACTAGTAAACTTTCCAGCTACACACATTACACGGTATTTATTTTGATAACCACCCAATTAAGTGTGTAAATAATAGGCCATCAGCCAGGATAAAAACACGTTTTATATCCTTATGCAATGTTAGGTGCTACTGATAGAGTGTAGTTAGTACTGGCATACAAAGGTAACTTTCAGAGTTGTTCCATATTTTCAGACTAATTATCTTATTGATGCCTTGTCATCGTAATAATGTCTTTTGAGTTTTAGTTTATTCTAAATTATAATGAAATTATATGACATTCCATGATTTCTTTCGTAGTTTTAAAACTAAAAGAACCATTTATGTAATTCCGTTGGTATGTAAATAATTTAGTATGCTTTTTTATTTTTTCAAACATCAGACAGAGCCTACTGATGATATTTTCATAAAAGAATTCAGAACTCGGTAGAAGATAATTATGGCCTCCAAACCTCTATCAAAAGGACAACAGAATTTTACTCAACTAGCTATAGCATGTGTCGAAGTGATAACTCAGGTGTTTAACGATTGCCTTGACAGTCAAATATCACCAAAAGATCTCTATAATGCCATAAAATCATGTTCAAAACTGACAAATGGTAAGGACAAACTAAACCAATACCAGCTTAAAATATGTTGCATATCTCCGCCTCAAGTTCCTGACTATGGTAAATTCGATGTTTCGCTGTTCTATAAACTGATGAGAAATTTGTGCCTAACATTTAAACCAACAACAGGTTGGGGAAATACACCGAATACAAGTGATTTGCAAATAGGAGATGACATCGAACGACTCAGAATATTTAGGAACGATATGTTTGCACATTTAGAATCATCAGAGGTCCCAGATTTCATATTCTTACAATGCTGGAAAGAGCTAAAGGGATGCGTTTGCAGAGCACAGAGTTTTTTGGACTCGCTTGGATATGGCGCTAACTATGATGAGCAACTCAAAAATATTGAAAATCTTGATTTGAGTTGCAAAGATATGGACAAATACAGACTCTTTTTGGAGGAAACGATGTTTATGTGGAGATTGTCACAAAATATAGGTTAGTTACACAGAAATCATCTTTCGAGCGTTTTTTTTTTACTCAAAACATACATTTATTTGATCTTTTATTATTCAGATGTTCCAGTGATAAAAATGACGGGATATTGCGATGTTTTTTGTGGTGAAGAAACATGCTTTGAAGCCAAGACAGATAATTGCCCTAAAAGCAATAACTGGCCGATTGTGTGGGAGAGAGTAAGGGGAAGTGTAACAGAGACCATAGACAAGAGTGCAAAAAAATATGAGGGCAGTACCACTAGACGACTTGTTATACGGAGAGTTGTAAAAGAAGATGAAGGAGAATATCGTGCAGTGATATCACGAGAACTTCATGGAAGTCATATAAATGTACCAAGTAACACACTTTTCCTAAATGCTCTAGGAGGTACTAGCAAAATACATTTCCTTTTACAATTTACTGTACCTGGAATTGCATAATCCAATTAAAGTCTTACATCTGACTATCATTTTGACAAATAAAGCCCGTTTTTACAAAGAAAAAAAAAGCTTTTCTGTCAATTATACCAGGCATAAAAATCTTCTTGTCAACTTATTATGAATGTTAACTTTGATTCTCTCTTGTTTTTGTATAGTCTTAAAAGATGATAAAATTTCTTACTATTATTTGCCCTCTTGCTACATGTATACGAAAGGAAAAAATTATCTTAAAATGAAATTAGTTTATTATTTGTTGCATCTCCAAAAACTATATGTAAAAACTAAACAAATACCAAAAGAATAAAAGATTTTTTTTTCTTTTCAGATCATCCTAGTCTAGAGATAACCCAGGCCACCTCGGGAATTGATGGTGTCACTATTCTTTATGATATTGAAGAGACACGTCCTGTGATTGAAAAAATTAAGTGGACCAAAGATGGAGAACCATTGTCGATGGATGCAATCAAGTACCAGGGCGGTGGTGTTTCGGACAGGTATCTGAAAATTCTGTCTCCGTCAGAGAACGACGGCGGTGAATACATATGTAGAGTTTTCAATGCAGTGGGGTCAGATATGAAGCGAATAGTTCTAGGTATTGCAAATTTATTCTTTCAATTTTGAATATATCATATGCCATATCAAATGTTTCTTATCTTAAAATGACGTATCATTATAAGCTCCACCTATTTTTACAAAAGTTTATTTTCATTAATTCTTTTATGTCTGCATAATTGTTTTTAAGGAATAGTTAACAATATACTACTTTGCCATATGAATGCATTTATAAATATATTCCTTTTAGCTGTCCCATCTGTAGTGATTTGCAAAGAACTGACAGTTCCACTGGGTGGTCAAGCTACTATTATTCCTGACATAACGTCATGTCCTTCACCGAAGAAAGCACTTTGGCTAAAAAGCGAATCTCAAGCTCCTGAGAATTTCCTGACCGTAGACATCGATGATGCTAGATATTTCGGAAGCAGTATGGATCCAGAGAAACCTATTCTAGTCATTTCAAATGTATCCTATATTGACAATTTGCATTACCGACTAGAAATCACAAATGGATTTGGGAAGTCTACAAGCAATGCAGTTTTGCTGAAATTAGTTGGTGGTATGTAATATAAATATATAGGAGAATCATTCAAAAAGGTTTCACTTTTATACACAATAAATAGTTATTTTAAATATTATTTTGTCTCTTCATGATCATGAATACCACTTTATGTCAAAAATTTCGAGTCAATATTACTGTTATATTACTGTAACAATAACTGCAGACGTTTTAATCTGGCAAAAGTTTAAGATCCAGTTAGAGTTTAAAAAAGGATCTTAATTGTTTCGAAAATTATTTCATAACTTCATTTTTTAATAAACTGAAAAGGGTCATTTTTGATTACAGATATTCCTTCTGTGTCCGCAAACCTTGAAACTAATATTGAAGATCGTAGGGTCACATTTAATTGCAAAATCTCTCTTTCGGATAATTACCCAGAGGTCACAGAGATCATTTGGATAAAAGACAAACAGTACATCGACGCTTCATCAAGTGGAGGGAAATACACTGGAGGTAGTAAGACTGATCCTCCACTAGTACTTCACGGAGTAAACTCGAACGACATTGGGCAATATCAATGCCGTGTTTCTAATGCAGCCGGGTCAATGTTTAGTGACATAATTTATTTGGGTAAGCAAACTCATATAAAATAATGTCACATATAAGTGAAATTGCATATGAAAATATAAAAAATAAGTTTGAAATGACAGGCATAGATTAATATTTTGATGAATTGATTTTTTTCCGAAAAATTCGAGTATTGCTGAGCCGCCATATTTATAACTGACCCAAGCATGCTAATATATTTCAAGGTCACAGAGTCATTTGGAAGGTAGATAAGATTAAGGAAATTGATGAAAACACCTACTATAAAAACATCTATTACGTATCTTTTATCAACGTAAATCCGAGATTTCTACAATGCATTGACCTGTAGTCCTCAAGTATGTCTGACTAAAGGTTCTGTCACATAGAGCTAGTTGTCTGCAACAAGCGTTTATGTAAATTTTGAAATGATTATGATTGCAAAATTAAAAAAAAATGTACAAATCTAAATTAAGTGAAATACAATTTTGCAACATCGGTAATTCCAGCTCTGTAAAAAGCAGACGAACGTTCACTGGAATTCTGAAAATTTTGAATTCATAGAATTAACCTGATTTCAACCAACCCACGTTTTCAAGAACTTATTGTCATAATGTAATATGCCTTTCCATTCTTTTGATAAAAAGAATTGTTTAAATACAAATGTATGGTGGCATATATCTGCACGTCCATGGAAGATAAATTATGTTTACATGCAACATAATTACGTAGACATGCAACATATTTATGTCAACATGCAAGTAATTTATATTGACATGCAAGTTACCGATCTTATTTAAAATATAATTTATACATGAGTAAATTTACTTATAACGCCCGTATCTGACATCGTAGATGCAAGACGCAACTTAGTTATGTAGACAGCGTTATTCATAACAACATACAAGATAGTTACGTCAACATGCAACTTACTTGTGTCAACATGCAAGATCACTATGTCAGCTATTATTATTCTGCATGTTGACATAAGTATTTTGCTTGTTAAAAAAACTCGCATGTTTGCATAAATTAGATGAGTTTTAACATAAATACTACATGTAGTATTTTGCATGTTGACATAAATTCGTCGCATGATAACAAAAATAAGTCGCATGTCTACATAATTATGTTGCATCTTGTATCTACAATATTAGATATAAGCGTCAGAATCGTATTTTACCCATATGAAATACAGATTCTCTTAAAACAGTGGTATCTTGTATGTTGACATAATTATCTTGCATCTTGTATGTTGACATGATTATCTTGCATGTTGACATAATTTATCTTGCATGTTGACATAATTTATCTTGCATGTAGGTGGCAGAAATATGCCACCATACAAATGATATTGAATTATATAAAATAATGGCATAACAATTTGTTTGAAAACAACAGTCGATATTCGACCTAATAATATAGATTGTGCATGCCGACAAGGACATTGCGAAAATTTGGCTTTTAACAAGACTGTTAATATCCTTGCTCTGTGAGTAACTTGCCTCGTTTTAGAAATTGTTCGTGAGTAGACCATATCGAATCAACTGGGAGACATAAACTCTATATGTAGGTGATAATGATGGGAAAAGAGTACCAATTAATTTCCCATAGAACTCTATACAAACCTTATGCCCTCCAAGTAATTTACTAATTCTCGTTCAAACAAATCTATGATATCATTTGAAAGTTCGTTCTAAGCACTTACTAAAAACACGGGAAAAAATATACCATGCCGCGGCGTTTATAGGTCAAATTTGCAGTTATTTAGAACTTACAGCGATCAGCAGTAAATGACACCCTGCCAAAAATATCAGTCCCCACTCCTACAATCTCCCCTGGTATTTCTATATTTTCTGTAATATTCCCACATTCAATCATTTATTTCAAACATTAATATGAAACATTAAAAATGAAAAGATTTACATACCTGAATTCAGCCAATCAGGTAAGCCTACCCATTTATTAGTCTGCTCCATCTTGTTCAACCAGGAAATGATGTTAAAATCTGGGTCTTTGGTGCTCTTTTTCCTAAAATATTTGGTATATGATTAAGGAAAGTTGAAATCGGGAAAGTTGTCCACAGGTTAATCATAAAATTGTTCTATTAGATAAACATTAATGTTTTTTCTTATTAAATATCCAAATATAATAGACTCTTTGGAATGCAGTTGGTACCCATGGGAATTCTGACAGAAGATGTATTAATTGGCAATGTATTTTTATTATAGGCAAGCCTACGGTTCAGATGGGTAGACCAGAAAGGGATGAAAAAAATGACATCTTAGTGTGTAAAGCTACAATTGCATCTATTCCGGAGGCTATAAAAGCTGAATGGAGAATTCAGCAGTCCGAAGAAGACGATTTTCAACCAATTGATATTCACGAGTCTACTTACAGGGGTTCAACTGTTTCCTTACCACATCCAGTTCTGATTGTTCATGGATATAGCAATAAACGGGGTCAACGATTTCAAATTAGCGTGTCCAATTTCGTCGGAGAAACTAGAGAGGTCATTCTTGGTAAATCTGGTACTAAATTATACTTTGTATTTTCAATCACAAAAATCATTTTCAAATTGCTTCACCATGGTGACTGATAGCAAAGATCTTTTATTTGATAGGAGTACACATCAGCATTGTGATATCCCAGTCCAATTTGAGACGCGTAATTATTATAAAGAGGTGAATCTCCCTTTTAAGTGCTCGCATCAGCATTAGAATTCAAAGTCTTGGTTCTTTTGGGTGATACCTAAAAAAATGTATAAGGCAGTGGCACAATATTGCTGGGAAGCACAATGCTATGGCCAAAATTTTGTAGCACATTTCCTAGAGCAAAATAAAATTCTGAGTACAACATTTTCGAATGGAGCATTTACACAATATGCCTTGTGGCAACGCACTTTGAAAAAATTACACACTTTGAAAAAATTTTTCAAAGTGCGTTAAAATTGGGACAAAATCAACGCACTTTGAAAAATTTTTTCAAAGTGCGTTAAATTTTGGACCAACTCAACGCACTTTGAAAAATTTTTTCAAAGTGCGTTAAGAGTCTACATCAATATATTTTACCATGGAGACACTTAACGCACTTTGAAAAAAAAATCATATTTTAGTCATGAAAAGATTTTATTTGTTTTTTATCTTTCAAAAAAAACTAAGCCTAAGCCTAACCTCAAAAATGAATTGATTTACTCCGTCGAAAAGAGAAGACGGGTATAAGATCCCTAAGTCCAAATCGTTATCTTTCCACTACATAGGTGTCGGTAACAAACGGGGGAGGGGAGCAATAAACCCAAAAAGGGAAAGCTGCATTTTCAATGCTTATACGATGTATATATCTTTCCAAAATAAGTGGGGGCTTAGCCCCCCTCCCCATCCCCCAATGGCCCTTCGCCCAGTCTCGATGTCTATGCTATAACCAAAGCATTCATATAATTATGTATTTACCTAACTTGTATGACGTTGAAAACTTTCAATAAAAAATGAGTTAATTAAAACAGATGAAAACTAGAAATTTTAAAGTACAGTTAAACGTTTGAGAGAGAAAGAATTTTCATAGTTTTGAACAATCAAGTTGCCCCTTTTTATCAATGAATTTTATGAAGCTGTCCTCTGTTAGTACCCCTATATACCTTTATATCTACTTATCAGAAACAATCGTCACTCTTTTTTTCAAGACCCTTTTATTTTTCCTTTATTTTATCAAAACCTCAAAGCTTCAATATCTCAGGTCCTATATACAGTGAATTTATCATAAAAAGTTATCAAATCGGGATCTGTTATTTATCATACCGATTATTTGAAGGAATATTGATCAATCTTTACATTTTTTTTCAAAGTGCGTTAATATGGTCGATATTAACGCACTTTGAAAAAAAAATTATTTTTTTCAAAGTGCGTTAGCTTGGTCCCAAATTTTAACGCACTTTGAAAATTTTTTTCAAAGTGCGTAATTTTTCAAAGTGCGTTGTAACAATGCCTTCATTTTAACCATAATATATTTAATTTTTATGCACGTATTGAAAAGGTGAGAATAAAGACAGTGGTTAAATTCGTAGAACCTGTCAGTCTAACAAGTAGCTGGTAGAGATCTAGAAAAACACATCTCTGAAAAAAACAGAGGTGGGAATGTTTAGGGGAAGTAAGCATCACGACAGTCCGTCACAGTCGTTTTGAGTCCTTTATATTGATCAAGTTACCAGATTATGAGTTAATAGCCAACAATTTCATAAATGTCAACAATTAATATATACCGTATAAGTGGAAATTTTAGCAAGAATTTAATTTTGGCATCATTAAGCGAGGGTGCCGAGATTCGCTAAAATTGAATATCGCTAAAAATTAATTGCGTTCAATTTGTAATAGCTTCTTAAGTGAGCATGTTGTAATCGCTAAAACTACTTATCGCTAAAAATGAAATACCACTTTTTAAGGATAAATCGCTAAATTTGCGTCTCTCTAAAATTTCCACTTATACGGTATACATATCAAAATATATAGGTGTAAACATTTTACATTTGTTTCTCCAAATCGACATTAAAAATTTCATTCAAAATTATCCTTAATCTTTCATGAATAATTGAATCGCAGATTGACTTCAAATAATGTTATAATGTTCCGTAACAGAAAAAAAATTAGTGAAAATGATTTTGTCATTTCAAGCCGTTTCGAGGATATCACTGGCATTGAAACTGAAGCTTAATCAAATGCTGCCGTGAAATCTGAAATTAGAGAATAAACATGAGGCATTTCGAAAACTATGGGGAAATATAATTTATAGCTCTTCATTTTGATTTTGAAAAATGTAAAAAAATATATATATACACATTATTTTATAATAATGTCTCAAAGGGGTACTCATTCATCCATGACACCTGATCCCACCTCTGATGTTTCGGAGGTCCGTGTTTGCTCTGCTCATGATTTGTATTATTTGAATGGACTTTGTTAACTACTGTTAGTTATCTTCATTTATTTCATTTATGTAAAACACAACTTTACTTTCATTGCTAATTTTCTTGAAAAAATTTCATTTTCTGTCTTCACGGAGCTCTCTTTTAAGTGTTTTATTCAAACTTTTAAATTTCCTCAAAATTTCAACAAAGTCAAATTATTATTGTTTTGTGGTTTAATTACCTTGAAAACAGCCGTAATTAGGCAAAAATATGTCCATTATTGAATTTACTCTCTAATAATCTCAACTTATTCAATAGTAGTTCATAGAATTATTATTAAACTCCTACACTCTTAAAAATGTTATACTTAGTAGTCATTTTTTACTTGAAATAACAAAGATAAGTAATAGATAATTACTAAGCATTTACTTAAAATTTTAAATCAATTACTGAAATATATGTCAATTACTAGATTCAAATGTTTTACTTGATTTTTGTATTTTAAAGAATTGTTTTACTTACACACTAAAAAGTTTTACTTAGTAATTTATATTTACTTAAATTTGTGTATATAAGTAATAACATTACTTGGTCTTTACTTACATTTTACCACTATTTACTATATAATTAATATTTTAATGCCCCCGTAAACGAAGTTTCGGGCGTATATAGTTTTTGTCGTGTCCGTCTGTCTGTCTAGATGTCTGTCTAGCTGTCTAGCTGTCTCTCTGTTTGTCTGTTTATCCACAGAAACTTTAACCTTGCCCATAACTTTTGATTTAGCGGAGCTATGACTTTCATATTTCACACGTGTATTCCTTGTGACAAGACCTTTCTTTGAGTATCACCAAATTTGACCTTGACCTTGAAGTTTGACTCACTTATACACAAAAAATCCAAACTTATTCTTTATCCAAATCTTTTGAACAGTAAATACCAGGACATGTATACTTCACATATATATTTTTTGTTGAAAGAACTTTTATTGAATACCAACAACTATGAAATTTTGACCTTGACCTTAGAGATTTCCATCCTTGTAAAAAAAACTTTAACTTTGGCCATAACGTTTGAACGGTAAGGAATAGTGCTTTCATACTTACATATATGTAATCATTTTGAGAAGACCATTCATAGGATACCAAGAACTTTGACCCTTTGACCTTGACCTTGGAGTTTGACCCACTTTTAAAAAGCAAACCTTGACTGTAACTTTAAAAGGATTAGGGTTAGTGCATTCATACTTTACATAGTTCATCCTTGTGACAAGACCTTTCTTTGGGTACCACCAAATCTGTCCCTTTGTCTTTGACCTTGGCGTTTGACCTACATTTCAAAATTGGTAACCTTGACCATAACTTCTGAAGGGTTAAGGCAAGTGTTTCCATATTTCACATATGTATTTTTTTTTGGCAAGACCTTTCATTAGATACCAATAACCTTGACCTTTTGACCTTGGAGATATCAAGAAATCCCAATAATTTAAATTTGTATATAAGAAAAGTTTAACCTTTGAAATGTTGCCATACAGGGGCATAGGTGTTTCACAAACACATCTTGTTTGAATTGTATTTAATTGATTTACTTAAAACAAAAATTTATTTACTAAATCTAGGAGAATTCAGATCAGTAATTACTTAAATATGGTAGTCTAATCACTAATTGTCTGTGAGGAGGAGTTATCTTTCTTCTAAATATTCCTTCATGTGAAAAAAAAAGTCACACTAATAAAAATGCGATATTAAGTACTTGAAATGTTTAACCATTTTTAAAATGGTCCTTAAAAAGATACAACTTATTCAATTTTTAAGGCTTTCGAAGTTGGAATCAAATGTTTTATTGTTATATATAATAAAACAATTACAAAGAAATTGGCAAAAGAAATAGAAAGTATAAATGTTTCCATCATGAGTAGATTTCTTCTATTAAACTATTCAGAGGGCCCAATTAGGGAACTCTGATAAAGAAAACTGTGAGTAGTACTCACATGTCAGCGGGTCGGTACCTAGCATTGTTTCTAGTAAATAATGTCGATTTTAGTAAATATGATAAGTATTTCATTTACTTAGTATTCTTTTGAGTAATAATATTCTAGATTTTAATTAATTTCAGAATTACATTTACTTAGTAATAATTCATAAAATTTAGTAAATAGAAAGCATATTATCTCTAAATTAAGTAATAATAATTTAACAAAAATGAGTAGTTCATTTACTAACTTTAAGTAATACAATTCCTATAATTTAAGTAATTCTATTGATACTTAGTAAATCATTTTATAAGTAAATGAATTCATCCTTATTACTAATTATGTTTACAATTACTAACCATGATAGTCATTTACTTGCTATTCTGACTAAATGGATTACTAATAATTACTAGTTTTTCTTAATCTAATATCTTATTTTAAAAACAACAAGTAAAACTTTTTTTAGAGTGTAGGGGCTATGTCCCTTTTCCTTTACTAGATTTTTAAGTCAAAAGGGACATTTATGCCTTTTATTTCAGCCAATAGCTTAGTCAATGGGTTAGTTCTCTTGTATTCCATAATAAATTTTCATCTGCGAATTTAATTTCACTATGTACTTATTAAATGAAATTTTACAAACGTACAATATGGGTAATTTTAAACTGAACATGTCATTTCAATTGTATCAGCATACTAGACTATATTATTGAACCTTAATTCTTCAGGTAATTTTCTCGGTTGAAGAGGTTTTTTAATTGTTATTATTTTAAACTATATTAAATGAGGTACTTTTATCGATGTTCTATCAATATATATATTACAGACAGGAAACGGAAAAATGAAGGTCATGATCGGGAGAAACATGGTAAGATTAATTGCTCCCAGGAAATCATCAAAAGAAAATATTTGTTTCACTCATTGTTACTGTTTGATGCTTGTAATTGACTGACCACTTATTGAATTGAAATTTTTATTCACAGATAAAAGAATGAAATTTTATCGAAAAGGGGGCTCAAAAATCCCTTTCGCTAGTCTAAAGGACGATCTTGACAGCTCATTTCCAAACAAGAAACTAAAAAGGTTAAAACAACTACTGATTGGTAAGTAAACCGTGATTTTTTGCGGTTGAATATTTCAATCTTTTTTTCTAACCAAATTGATAAAAATGTTGAAAAAAAATTGAAACAATTATTGTTTAAATATGTCTATTTTGAACCTCCAGGGTTATTGATAAATTTTTTGGGGGGGGGTGTTTAAAGATATGGTGACATGTCGGACGGGAAATTAAGATATTCTTTTTATGCCCCCGTAATCGAAGATTCGGGGTATGTAGTTTTTGCCCTGTCCATCCGTCAATCAGTCAGTCTGTCTTTCTGTCTTTTAATCTGTTTTGATCTTTTAATATGTTTGTCCGCAAAGTCTTTAATCTTGCGCAGAACATTTGATTGGTTGAGGCTATGGTTTTCATATTTCCCATGTGTATTCTTTTTGACAAGGCCTTTCTTTGGGTACCACCAAATTCGACCTTTTTTCCTTAACCTCGGAGTCTGACCCAGTTTTGCAAAATTTTACCCAGCGGTAACCTTGGCCATAAAGTTTGAACAATTGGTGCTAGTGCTTTCATACTTATCATGTGTAATCCTTTATTTAGATACCAACAACTTTTACCCTTTGACCTTGATCTTAGAGTTTGACCTACTTTTAAAAAAAACTTTCGCCATAAATTTTGAGCAGGTTGTGCTAGGGTCGTCATATTTCATGTGTATTTCTTTTGAGAAGGCCTTACTTTGGTTACCCACATATCGATTTGCATTTGAAAAAAAATTAACGGTAAGTTGTCACACGGGGACATCAGTGTTTCACAAACACATATTGTTTTTCTCTTCCCCTCTATCAGTTGCATTTAGATTCATTATAGCTTATTTGATTTTTAGCTCACCTGAGCTGAAAGCTCAAGTGAGCTTTTCCGATCACATTTTGTCCGTCGTCCGTCTGTCTGTCTAGCTGTCTGTCCGTCTGTAAACTTTTCACATTTTTGACTTCTTCTCCAGAATTCCTGGGCCAATTTCAACAAAACTTGCCACAACTGAAGCATCCTTGGGTTAAGGGGATTCAAGTTTGTTCAAATGGAGGGCCACGCCGTAATTTAAGAGGAGATAAATGGGAATTAGTGAAAATTTGGTGAAATGTTTTAAAAATCTTTTTCTCAAGAACCACTGTGGCTGGAAAGATGATACTTATGGGAAATCATCCTTAGGTAGTGTAGATTCAAGTTTGTTCAAATCATGACTCCTTGGTGTAGGGCGGGGCCACAAGATACAATCAAAGTTTAATATAGAAATATATAGGAAAAATCTTTAAAAATTTTCTTCTCAAGGACAGGAAAGCCATGATTGATTATACTTACTTGGAAGCATGCTTGGGTAGTGTAAATTCAAGTTTGTTCAAATCATTACCCCCGGGGATAGGGCGGGGCCATAAGGGACGATCAAAGTTTTACATAGAAATATAAAGGAAAAATCTTTAAAAATCTGCTCAAGAAAAGCAAATCCATGATTGATCATACTTATATGGAAGCATCCTTAGGTAGTGTAGATTCAAGTTTGTTCAAATCATGACCCCCAAGGGTAGGGTTGGGCCATAAGGGGCAATCAAAGTTTTACATAGAAATATAAAGGAAAAATCTTTAAAAATCTTCTTTTCAAGAACAGCAAAGCCATGATTGGTCATACTTATATGGAAGCATCCTTAGGTAGTGTAGATTCAAGTTTGTTCAAATCATGACCCCTGGGGGTAGGGCGGGCCACAAGGGACGATCAAAGATTTACATAGAAATATATAGGAAAAATCTTTAAACATCTTCTTCTCAAGAACAGCAAAGCCCAATCTGATTAAGGATCGCTACACAAGGATCTGAAGAAACCCCTTTCAGGGTCATCTCCTGGCGACCTTTCAATTATCCAATAAAACGATTTATAAGTATCTCGGAATTTAGTTCCAGAAGTAAAAGCCCCGATGACACACGAACGGAAAATCGTGACCTAGTTTCAGTTACCTGCTAGGAGAACGACTACAGTTTTTTCTGTACAGAAATATAATAAGTACTTGCTTTTATCTTGATTTTTAGCTCTTTGTTTGATACGAAACGATCGATAATATCTTTGCTACAGCTATTTTCACTTCTACATTAATTTTCCCAAACGTCCTTAAATACGACCTCTCTGATTGATCACAATTTTAATGAATATTTTTATGAGAAAGGTCACCAGGAGATGAACCTGAATGGCGTTTCTTCAGATCCTTTTGTAGCGATCTTTATGTGAGCGGATCAAAGGATTTGATTTTATTCAGATTGAGCAAAGCCATGATTGATCATACTTATATAGAAGCACCATTAAGTAGTGTAGATTCAGGTTTGTTCAATTTATGACCCCTGGGTTAGGGCGGGGCCTCAAGGACAATCAAAGTTTAACTTAAGGAATGACTCTAATTCTTGGCCAAATTATCGAGTATAATCTGGTTTGTGTTCAGTTTACGCTTTATAATCCGCGAAACCGATTAGAAAAAAGCGTAAACTGACCCAAACTAGATTTTACTCAATAATTTGGCCAAGAATTAGAGTCATTCCTTACTATTCAATTTTAAAATAATTAAACAACTTTGGATGTAAAATTGTGTTGCGTTTTACGAGTTCAAATTTACCACGCAATAATACAACCGTAGTAACGGAAATGATGTGAAGCGAGGGGAGGTAATAGCTGATACATTGATCTAGCAGCCATGATGTGTGTTTACGTGAGTTAAGATCGAGTTAGTGTTTGAAGTTAAAGATACAGTTATTAAATTTTGAATTTTCCATCGGTTCCGAGGACTGGAAATGAGGGGATTGCATGGATAAGATGATTAAGCTGGTCGTCAAGGAGGTGTGTCCCCATACCAAACCAGATTATACAAAATATTTTGCGTTCCATTTTGGAAATCAACCAATGAGAGGCGAGAATATAAACAAAATTAAATTATATAAGAATATATAGAAAAAAGCTTTAGAAATCTTCTTCTCAAGAACAGCAAAGCCATATAATTGATAATATTGATATGGAAGTATCCTTAGATAGTGTAGATTCAAGTTTGTTCAATTTATGACCCCGGGGGATATTGAAAGTTTTACATTTTAATACACAAGATTTTTTCTCACGGACACAGCAGAGCCATTTAATCCTATTATCATTGAAGCATTCTCAGGTAGTGTAGAGTATTTTTGTTCGTCTCGGTCGGGGAAGGGGGCACAGACTTCAAGGGTAAAAAGAAAAAAGCTATATTTAGTTAAAGAAATATGCAGGCATCTTTGTTAGCGTAGATTCAAGTATTTAAACTTATTCAAAGCACACCCCCCTCCACAAGCCACAGTGCTCAGGTGAGCTGTGTGGCCAATGAGCCTCTTGTTGTCTTTTGATACGTTACCAATGATAGTCACATGCCAGAAATGACGGACTGATTAAAGTTTGTGAAAGTTGGTAAAAATTTAAATAAATATATATTTTTTAATTTTTCATAAAAAAAATTGTCTGCTTTATCATTTTTTATGTTCAGATCAAGAAGAGATAGAAGAAGACTCTGTATTTGCCTGTAATTCGTTGTGGGACATTTTAAATATCCTGATACAGAGAGACTTGTTCAGTAGAAATGATGTTATATTTGTACAGTATTTGCTACGAACGATAGGATGCCTCGACCTCTATGAAACGTGTTACAAGTACGCTAAAGATTGTGAAGCGCTTTGTTTCTTTGAAAGTCAACCAGGTACGATTTCAGTACGTACATTGTATTCTTTCAACAAGTAACTGACACATGGTCACATGAATATGATAAACTGTTATAGTTATATTTACAGAAAATGGCTGTAAGAATGTCAAGTTTCACATAGATGGCAACATCGAAGAGTACTCAAAGGAGGATATTCTTTTTATACAAATAACAGTTGCAAAAATGTTGAAATGTCCTACTGATTACATTGTCATTAGTGGACTAGAACGTGACACAAGCTTTCTACTAATTCTGTCAATTAAAGATGAATATACGACGTTATTACTGGAACATGGTCAACAAATTTTAGAAGATCTGTCTTTTTTGAAGGTGGATTATATTGAATATGATGAAATTCTTATCCATAAGGAAAACATTAGTCAGGGTAAGAAATTACTTACATTTCACTTTCTTATGGTAATTCTTCTAAATAACATTTCGATGTTATATACTTTTCATTTGAACTTTCATTTTCCTGTCTACCAAAGTCAGTTCGTTCTACCCTAACTATATTGGATTTTTAAAACTCCCTAAAAATACCTACAAACAAATCTACACTGCTTTGTCAGATAAATGCTCTATTAAGCCCTTATCCTTACTTCTGACAAATATATTAACTGCTGTTAGGGAGAAAAACTTTAGTTTTACCCTGCTTCAGGATTTTCTAGTAGTGGTAAAAAGAAGGATATGGAGATAACGAACAGTATTCAATCTCAAAGTCCATAAAACAATACAAAATAAGAGCAGAGCAAACACGGACCTCCGGAACATCAGAGGTGTGATCAGGTGCCATGGAGGAGTAAGCATCCCCTCCGACCGGTTACACCTGCCGTGTGCTCCTTGTCATGATCATGAAATAATGGGAAAATCCGTTGTCAATTCATTGTATAAATAATGGACTAACGAAAAGTATGAAAAACGTCAGTCAGGCATTTGACTCAATGATAAAATAATTGTATTTGCTGACAAGGTCATTGTATCGACCATAGAACTTACAAAATGATGACTTTAAAGGAGACGGCTGATATTCTTGTGTTATCAACTTGCTTGTCAATAATTTACCTCGTCTTAGAAATTGTTCATACGTAGAGCAAGCTCTTGCGTATCGAATCAACTGAGATATATACAGCTCAACAAACTTTTTAAACTCACATGGTTTTTCGCACAAATTAAAGTCATATTTTTCTTGCAATAAAACTTAAAATTACCGAGTTTCAGTACGAGGTATAGGCCTTATATTATGAAATATTTCATGTTAAAGGTGCATATACTCTAAAATCATTATTTATCTTAAGGTTTGAAATTCAATTTTCTAAAAGGGGATTTTTTTTATAAGTCGTATGATGTTGAATGTGTATGATTCTATCATAGGTATTTACAAAGTAATTAATCGAACTTTCTTTGATACTATTTGGTTGAAATGTTCAAATTGACTTCTTACAGATGAGTATTTTTCTAGGTTCTTTGCACATTTTTAATACTTGTCATGGTTTTGTCGAAATACTGCGCAGAATAATGACAAAACTGCGTAAAGAAATCCTGTGAAAGGATAGGATGATTAAGTATTGTTTATCTTTCAACCTAGTGAATTGTAAATATTAAAAATAATTTTTTTTATATTTATGGTCTGAAACTTTGAAATTTTGCGTTGGTAGGTAACTTTCATGATGTTAGATATCAGGAAGTTAACCTGATGAAATGTCATCTTTTTAACATGGAAAGCAGTCGAACAGATGAGAAATACTTCTATCATCTTGCGCTTTAGTGTCAAATTAATGTACAGAAAATACAGCATGAACTGCACTGTTTCTGTATGAAGGCAAGGCAAAAGTATGCTTTAAAATGAATGGATACAAAGACGGTTGCATTTGAAGAGAAAGCATTGAAAAAAACCATTTGGAAATTCTCATAATATATCATCCAAGAGAATATAAAAATCCTACCAATTATTTTGTGTGAATTATGTTTAAAGTAATGGAATACGATCAAAATTAAGTTATAATTCATTTTTAAAATATATTTTGTTGTCACGACACAGAATTTTGCATTATGACAATGTGACCTTAATTTGTGCGAAAAACAAAGTTTGTTGAGCTGTACACTCCGTATGCAGGTGACGAAGGTATATTGCTGCATAAGTCAGATTTGGACTCAGAGAAACTCCTTAGAAATTTTAGAAAATATAAAATCGTTATTTTTTTCAAAAGTCAGTAAAATGAAAACGAACGACTTTCTACACTAACTAGGCTTTTTGATATTATAGAACACTTCTTCTTCAATAAGAGTAGAAGTTTTTGTATTTTATGTACCATGTACCAATATTCCAGTCACTAAGTATCCCACACGTTTTATGTGTTGGACTTTAAAGTTGAAAATGCTGCTATATTGTGATGGTTTGGGGATGCGATTTCAATTTATTATTCAACGGGAAAAAATCTTCGGGGTTTTTTGTGAGCATAGAACATTTTCATTAGTACCTTATCTTTTTTGTTTATAAAACTGATAAAAATTATATAACATTGTCTTTCCTGCATCTCAATTAATATTACCTTGTAAACTGACCTCAACCACATGTTTATAGTAAAATGTTAACCTGTAGTAGACCATCATTGCTCTACTATTCATCAATCGGATTTGACAAATGTTATCAGTAAGCTCTGTTGTGACATTCAATAACGATTGTCATTTCAGGTAATTTTCTCGAACATGTTTTATAGTCAGATGTACTTTTTCTTTCTCATGGTAATATAACGAAGAGTGAACTGATCGATTTTAACAGATCTATAAACTAAACTTTGTGCATATTGCATAAAACACAGACACAGAAATTCCAGAGGTGGGATCAGGTGCCTAGGAGGAATGAGTATAAAGTTTAAACCTAGAGTAATGTGTGTGTAGAATCAGAGTGATTTTTAAGAAGTTTGGCTCCTGTCATCAATTGTATTGAGAATTTTTTTTTGTAAAGCATATTTTTATAATCTACACACATAGCTTAAAAAAAATCATAACATAAAATAGGGGTCAGTGAGCTTCTTTCAGCTCTACGGAGCAATTAATATGACATTTTTGCACTATAATTAACTCATAAATATTTTTTTTACCTTCAAGTTTTACCTTTGATATTTTAACCATATGAATTACTGGAACAAACATAGCCTTTTTTCATTCTGAATAGTCACATTAAAATTTGTGGCAACAAAAAATAGTTCCAAATTACTTCTTACTTCGCATAGTGAATTATTTGACCCCTCTGCACTCCAAAAAAGTTATTTTTCCAGTGTTAAACATTTAAAAAAAAAAAAAACAGAATCATTTGAAAGTAATGTCATTTTCGACTAAAAGTAAAGTGGTTAAAACTTTCTTATATTTTCAAAAATGAAATTAAAAAAATGAGGTCTGTGATATAAATTTTTAGATATTAGTAAAAATAATGCTCATTTTATGCTTTGTCTAATGCATGTAAAATACTTAGGTATCAAAAAGACAACATAAAAGAATGTCTCCTCACACGACATGCTTTTATACTGAATTCTTTGTGTTTGAGAACTTAACGTGCAGGAGTGAATTTACTGACAACAACTCAGAACTAGACTTTGAGTAATGAATTTTTAAAGAATTTTTTTGAATTTCCATTACATAAAATACCTTAATCAAGGGAATTATAACCTTGATCAAGCTATATAGCTTTATCAAGCTATATACCCTTATCAGGGTATTGTGCTGGACCTGTTAAATCTGTCTTTAAAGACAAGACTCGTCTCTGATACGTATACATGACGATATGGTTGTGCTTTCTGTATGTACCGAAATGTGAAAAAAATAATATTCAGAAAAGCAACAAAAGATTACAGTGGGGAAAAAGTGTAGCAAGGCCTAGAAAGTTTAAATATCTTTGTAAACAGCACATGGGCTTTGATTAGTTTCTTTTTGTGTGCTGAACAAAAACTAATGAAGACACACCTATATAACTGTCAAGTGAACCAATCAGACCCCGTTAAATATTTCAGAAATAGAAGCATTCTTCACCATGAAGAATCAATTCTTCGCAAGAAATGGATGCATTTGATTGGCTGAATACGTAGGTTATGTTCTAATAGAGACTTATACTTCCACCTTTTATTTAGCAAATGAATTGTTTTTCACTGTGAGCATGAAAATAATAGATATTTTTTCAAAAATGCTTTTCATTTATGAAATGGATGGAAAAGTGATCGTCATGCCTTTCCGATCGCCTTAAGATTTTTTCCTTTTTTCAAGCGTAAACTTCCTGTAGTATTCATAATAACCCATAATGCTATTCTCTAATCAGCTGATTTGTCAGTTTACGTCGTGTTGCTGTCTGATTTGCTAATCTGACGCCAAAAAATACAGGCCTGGTTCTCATGAAAAAACTGAATAGCAACATAACTTTGAAAACTGAATAGCAACATAACTTTTCTGTTTACCATGTCTCCACGTGCTAGTCACTTCCTAGCACTGTCAGAGCTACTCTGAACTCACCGGGTTTTATAGTTTGCAGAACATCGAAAAATAAAAGGTTTCGAACACATTAGTAGGGGTGTACGTGTAGGTTGCGTGTTAAAAATAGCAATCCAATCTTAACAATACGTAATACATGTACTTCGAAAGCGGAAAAATTGATTTTCATTTTTCTTAAAAACCTTCCGCCATATAATTAGTTGCTCACCACATGATTTGGTATGAATTATGAAATTTAATA